TTTTTGCCCCCCCCCCCCTGGAAAGTTAACCGATTTTTTTTGCCCCCCCCCCCCTAGAAAGTTTTTCTGCGGGCGCCCATGTCCTCAGCCGTGTTTATTAACTAAAGTTTGACTCAAACTCCAAGTGAAGGATGGTGATTTTTTTAATGGGGGTGTGCCCAGTGCCGTCTTGTCTTAAGGCATGGGAACTGGCCCAGGGCCTCACGCTTCTATGGGGGCTCAAGCTTCTAGAAGACTCACCCTTTTAGAGGCATCATTTTTCACATAATGTTAATCAATTCTGAAAGATTTTGGCAACTTAATTTGATTTAAAATTCAGTTGACAACACGTTTCCCAATTTTAACCAACGATATTATCGGCACATTCCAAAATTAGTATTATAAATGCGAATATTATTACATTAAGAAATGACATCAGCGGGCCGTCGAGCTTGCGCTCTTTATGCCCTCCCCAAAACACCCCTCCCCAACACGGTATCGGGCCGCGGAGCGGCACATTGGGGATGTCTCTTTGTCAGGACAGGCCCCACCCGAGTCCGCTCGACCGGGTTCCACTGGAGGTCGCCCCAACCCAAAAACACCCGGTCGGTCCGTCACTGTGTTTGCACACAGTGCACACGATCGACTTTCTCAGGAGTCGGGATGGAAAAATGTACGTCCTAAAATCTTCCCCACCCATCCCGGGGAAGCATTGGACGCCCTATTAGAGGGATTCTACTGTGGGTTTCCACAGCGCAACTAATTTGAGAAGTAGCTGGGACGAAATGGTTGCCTTGGAGCAGCTTCTCAGGGCTTCATAGTAAGAATCATCGGCCAGAGGTTGAACCTTCGCCTCATATCCATAAACGGCAACTTGTAATCATGATCCCTACCATGTCTCTGCATTTTCTTCTAATTGTGACGCATCACAACTGGCAGCCCTGTAGGTGCTGTTTTATTTACGGCAGGTACCGAGAACGCCCCTTGTCTGCCCACGCAGGACGCGCCCAGTGGTTGTGTTCCCGGGTAACGTCGAGGGGGCCGACGCCCCCTAATGGACAAGCCACCACAGACTTGTTAACCGGAGCCCCGGGGAAGTATAAATGCGAATAAAAAGTTGGATACTACTTAAAGGGGAAAAACAAGTCAACAAGTTTATCTATACACATATGAGTAATTCTCATTACAATTTTATTGGGAGATATCAAAACTAAAAATTAGGATTAACTTGTAATTGTATTATTGAATCATTATTAATGAGCCGCTCAATGAATAACCAATGAGAAATGAGAAGAACGGTGAAATATTATGCATTGAAGCAAACAGAAAGGTTTTAGGACAGCTGACGATATTTCAAATGGAATTCTAATGCAATTATTCAATCATAATTTGACTTATGCTAGTCTTTTTATCATAGAAAAATATCACGTTCATTACACAGCTCTTTAACCGGGATTGTTGTTTTATTCACATGAACACATTCATTACATAAATATTCTCATCAGAGCTGCAGAGACACGAGCCTTTCCCACAAAGTTAGGATTCCAATATATGCCTAGTGTTAGATTAAATGAGTCCTACGCTGGGTCTATCGAAATGAATGTCGGAGTCCTAATTTGGGCTAGTTTTAGATTTTTAACATTTCAGAGTCCTACATGGGACATGGTGTAAAAAGTCTAAATGTTTGATATTATACCAGGGTTTCTTTCAGCTATATCTGGGGGGGGGGGGGGGGAAGTTCCCCCC